AGAAGCTGAGGTTCGGCAGTACCACAGACTCTCTCCCATGTTGGCAAAAGGCATAAAAAAACACTGCAAGGCCAATTTTTGTTTGTTGATGGTACGATCAGAGCAACATGATAAAAATAATGTTTCGTCGTTTTTTCTTCCTGTATTTTGTTTTTCTGGAACAATGGGGAGGAGCTTTTAACGCACCTCACTTGGCATTGTTTCCATGTGAACTCTTAAGCAGTCACTCTGAGCTAGAGTACAACAAATACAAGGCAGAAATCAGAATCCTCCAGATGCACTTAGCGCGGTTCTAAACTCACTGTCCTTTGTATAAAACAACCGACTTACAAGCAGTATTAGGAACTTTATAGTGTGAAAAAGCTTTTTGCAGAGCAGAAATGTCATGCGTGGGGCTGTTAGGAGTTCATCCTCAGTAACGTTTTTGGAGTTTTAACCATTTTGTTTTGTCTTTGTACTGCTGTGACAGCTTAGCTAAAATTCCCCATTCGGTCCACTGAAGATCTATTGTTTATTAATTGTGCATTTCCTACCTGAATTTGATTATGTGGAATTCTGTGCTATTAATTACAATAATCCTTCTCCACAGACATAAAAATGTTCTCTGTGTGTCTTTTCAGATCAAACCCCAACATACACACGCACACATACAAATTAAGTAAAAAGAACAGATCAAAAGCTTCCAACACACAATGTTAACCTAATACATGTATCAAGTACATATAGCTCAACCGACAGTGCAAAGTTTAGAGATTTCAAAAGGAAAAGATAAAACAATCTGCAAGAATGTAAACTGGTCATTTCATAATGTCTACTGTACATAATATCAGCAGACTACTAGCTGCTGATGAGTAATACTACCATATTACCTTCGGTGTTCTCTTAGTGTCCATAAGATAGTGTTGGAGTTCTCACAAGTAACTCCATTTGATCTGATCTTTATATATCTCTGCTCTTTACCTTTTAGGCACACTTCTTCTCATACTTTTTATAGTCAATATAATCCCACTTCTTCTTTGTTCAGGTTTTAGGATGCCCTATTTATTGATTAATCACCATAGCAACCTAGTCTAAGGAGCTTATTTTATTTATTCATGTACTACAATTGACAGGCATCTCCGTTATGTTTATCATTGTTATCTGAGTGCCCGAGTGTTTATACAAGACATCACTGAAGGAGTGGAAACAACACCATAATACTTTTTTCTGTGTTTCAACTTTAGCAAAAGAAAAAATAAATAAATAAATCTAACATTCACTGTTACTACAGGAGTTTAAAAAAAAAAAAAAAAAGCCCAAACCAAACTATTTTGGATTTTTAAAAAAATCCAGAATCCAAACCCAACCATCTTTGGAGACCCTCTTACAAACTTCTGGACCGCACAAAAATCAGTCTTGGTGAAGAAAGGGAAGGAGGGGAGGAGGGAAGGAATCTTTTTTCTAGCATCACAGAAGAGACTTGCATCTGGCACTAAAACAGGGTCACGGCTTTTAGTTGTTACAGAAAGCAACTTCATGCTAAAAGGTTTTGTCTTTTTTAAATGTATTTTTATGAATAGGGAAAAAAACCCTGCTAACATCTACTTTTACATACCTAAAATTGCAACACCAAAGGGTGCAAGAGACACAGATACTGTGAATAAAGTGGAATATTCAAGTATATGAGGAGGGCGTATCACAAATGGCCACAGAGAAATATATATATATATATCTATAATACTGTATCAAACAGACGGAAAGGATGTGAAACCAGTAGTGCGTACACAAATCTAGCCGCTTAACCAACATTCTAATCAGACACAAGTCCATTGGGATGGAAGTGCTTCCTGTCCATAGCTTTTTTTACGTCACTTCCCCAAGCATGGTTCAAATGTTTTTCAACTACTATTTTTAGTTATTAGTTAAATAATTTATTGGCTTTTCAGCTATACACTGACATAATTACCCAGGTCCAAAAAAAATGTTAATAACTTAATTCAACTTTTGTTCTAGTCATTTATACAAAATAACACTTTCTTTTTTTTTTTTTTTTAACTAAACTTGAATTTCTCTACATGCCCGTCCTTCTGGTAAGCAGACTCTTAATTTAACCTGTAATAACTTACAATGGGCAACTTTTTTATTTTTTATTTCTCCATCTATCAACAGTGAAATGAGCAACTTGGGATATTAACGAGGCTCTTCAGAAAGAGGTGGATGGCCTTCAGGCACATAAAAGGTAAAAATGCATTTTATCATAGTACGGTACTCCATGCAAGACAGAGCAGAGCAACAATAATTCTCCAATGTAACATACTGCAGTTGTATACCCATATAAAGCCAGTGTCTTCCTGTTGTAAATGGAGATCAGGCCAATTTCTGCATCTATTTAATTATTTTTTTCTGTTTTTTTATTATATGGTAACTACAAGTCTCGGGATATGACTTAGTTTTAGACATGGTAAAGAATGAATGCAACACCTGTTCTGAGCCCATTCCTGCCAAGAGCTCATGCCTAAATATTATTACTTCATACAACGCAAAATGGAGCAAATTCATAAGCCCTGTTTAGCGAGGGCTGCCGTGACATCTTCAGCAAGGGTAGCAAGCTGGGGTGACTCAAGCAGGTTGATGCTTCCGGAGGACGAGACGTTGCTGAGCCTGCGTGGCGAAGCCACGCTGGACCTGCCTGGTGACTGCGTGATGATCTCAGCCCCATGGTCGACACGGGCTTTAGCATGCTCTCTGAAGTTTAGCTTCTGGCTGTCAATCTGTTCCAGGAAAGCAAAGAATTTAACTTGGCATGGAGGGGAGTTGTTTAAAAAAAAAAGCCCTCACTGACTGGGTTCTCAGTGCTAGCTTCCTACAGTGATGATCACCCCACCTGTCCTTTCCAAAGCCAACCTTTTTTTCCCTTTAGGAGAACTGAACCTGAATAGTGACCTTTCTTCTTTTCAAAATCAGCTGCTCAGCACCTGCCTCAGCAATCAGGCAGCTCAGGTCTTTTGAGTCCATCACCACCTTTTCCGTTTTACAGAAGCCATTGTCAATTGGAAGCATCATCTAGGCAGTACAATGTCTTATATTCCAACCTACCACTCCCATCAGTAACAGTTAAGTTCAACGTTCACAGTGCACCAAGTTAATTTAGACGTCTAAGAAAGTATCTCCCACTGACTTTCTGTGGCGTTTGAGTTCTTAACTTCGTTGCACAGAACTGAAAACCCACCTTCAGCTTCCCTCTCTGCTACTGAATGTTGCTGGAACACATTATATCTTCGTTAAACTCACGCGTTAGAGATCATCACTCGGGTGTGATTTTCTTTTGTTTATTTTTAAGAACTCTTAAAAGCACTGAAGCTTGTGAATTTCACCCCGTTTGAGGTGTATTGGCTCACTATGTTACATCCTCTCTTACTGTTTCAGTCTTTGATAGATGCTCTAAAAGGCAATAGCATTGTTCCTACCTGTATGGATTTAGTAGGCATTCTATGGGCATTGTGAATTTGATTCTGAAACTTTACTTTTCAAATGTTTACGGCAGTGACCTTAACTTCGAGATGTTTTCCTCATGTTTTACGCTGCAGTCCTGATCCTCTGGAATACTCACAGTACAAACTCACTCGTTCATAGCTGCACTACACAGCTGTCCAAAACAAGGTTTCCCCTTGGTTGAGAAAGCCAGTGCACAGACTACAGGATGTTTCACTTTAAGGTCCAGACTCAGCCTAGAGCGTGGACATAAGCGTGATCCTTCCAAATTCCATAGGGAGTAAAGAGCATGGGAGCGTGCTTGAAGAAAAACAAGCAAATGTTTCCTACTCAATTCAGAGCCATCACTGAACTTACAGGTCTAATAATTTCACAGCTGAATTTGAGCCAGGGGCACAGTGATAGCTTTTTCCCTGAGGGTTGTTCTCTTACCTTGACATTACCACCGCCAGGTACGTGGTGGGCATTTTCGAGTGAACCAACTTTAGCCTGAGCTTTTTCTTTGAAATCCAGTTTCACACTTTCAATTTTCACACGTCCACCACCTACACAAAGAAAGAAAATGAAGATTAAGAGGCTGAAATCCCCAAGGAGAATGTCTGACACAACGCGCATGGGTGCATTCATATTACTTCCGTTTCAGCTGAGATGTAATGATGTTAGAGAAGCACTGAATACCATGCTCCATGTTGCAGAAAACATAACATCTTTGACACATATTCCAACTTTAAGCACGTGCTTTAGTCCTACTGATTTCGATAGGATTTAAGCACGTGCTTAAATATTTTGCTGTCTTCAGCTAGCGTTTCACCATCTTCTCAAACGGACAGACATTGTGCCCCAGCAACATCCTTCTGTGTCATTATTTTATCTATCTCATCTCTAAATTGGTGGTCCTACACACGTTTATCTATATATCACAGAATCACAGAATGGCCGAGGTTGGAAGGGACCTCTGGAGATCATCTAGTCCAACCTCCCTGCTCCAGCAGGGTCACCTAGAGCACATTGCACAGGATCGTGTCCAGGCACGTTTTGAATATCTCCAGGGAAGGAGACTCCACAACCTCTCTGGGCAACCTGTGCCAGTGCTCAGTCACCCTCACCGTCAAGACGTTTTTCCTCAGGTTCAGACGGAACTGCCCGTGTTTCAGTTTATGCCCACTGCCTCTTGTCCTGTCGCTGGGCACCACTGAGAAGAGTCTGGCCCCAAATATGTATATATTTTTATATATATATTTAGTTAAGTAAAATTAAGAGTATTATTTCTATTATCAAAGTGTATTTACTTTCTCTCAGACTACATAAGAGAACAGTATCATCCATACTTTCTCCTTCGCATACAAGGAGTGGGCCCTTGCTTTGACACACACCCCAGAAAATCCTACAATACCTGGCTTGTGGTGGATGTTCTTGAGGGAGCCACATTTGGAAGTCACATGACTCAAGTCTATCTTCTTGGTTACGATTTGTACCTGTCAAAATCACACGCAAGCACAAGAAACATTACAGGAATGAAAGGAATAAAGTAAATAAAAAGCCAAGCCCTGCAGAGAAACAGCCACAGTCTCTACAAACCGCTGGAAAAGGAGGTGGTTAGTAGAAAACAGACCACGCCACAAGGGAAGAAACACCTGGATTAATGCAACAAGCTTCCTTTCCACCATTCCTTTCCAGATGACAGAGCAGGGTTAAGTTTTTCCACTAGTAAAATGAAGAGGAGGACGAAGCAGATTGGATTGTGAGTTCTTTCCTAAGATATCTGTGAGCTCCCAGCTCGAGGTGGAGATTTCCAAAGCCCTGCATGCTGCAGGACCCAGCCCGTTTGGTTCTGCTTTTCAATGTGCCTCTAGGAAACTAGGAATATTCTGGCGGCTGTTTATTTTCTACCATCTGTTTCTTTTTTTTTTTTTTCCATCTCACTACAGTAAACGTTTTCATCTCAATCTATTACGGAGAGTCTGATGCATCTACAAATGCGACCTCAGCAGCTGTACCTGTGCTGCTGTTGGATCAGGCAGCCCGGATGCTGTGGCACTCAGCCAGGCTGCAGCACGGACACCCGCATCTCTGGAGGCTCTGCCGAGGTCGGCGTTGCCATGACTACGCCGACCCAGCTTAGGAACCGCCGCATGAGTGACACTCCGGCCCTGCTGCGCTCTGGGCAAGCTCCAAGGTGCGGCTGGCTTTCACCCTTACTGCGTGAGCACATCTTTGCCGGGCAAAGCAACTCATTGCACATGAGCTCCAAGTTCACTGCAATGCCCCCGCTTTGCTCACGTCACCAGCAACAATTAAGCCAGCAACGGTGGTTTTAGTGAACCTGTTTACTTCTCATTACAATGGATCAGACACGCACCCACCATCAGCACTTGCATTTGAGGGGAGATCATTTCCATCAGAGGGGTCAGTGCAGTCTTAAGCCATTTTAACATGACTGCTAGAACTGACTGGTGTCCGATTGAACCCCGAGCAGCCCCCATCCATTATACTGGAATAGCGCTGTGCTGGACGTACGTTAGCACTCAGCATGCTGGCAGATCACATCCTCTTTCTTTCTTTGTCCTTATGTTTTATTTCTCTTTTTCTTTCTCTCTGGTAACTGTACGTAACTGACAAGATTAGCTGAGGAAAGACTGAGGCACTAGAAGATGTCCAGCTGTGCAGCTGGAGTCTCAATGGGATAACTGGTACTTTCTGGAAATGACTTCCATGAGCCACTCCCATGAAAGGCACTGAACCATCTTGGCTCCCACCGGACTTCTACTGTCAGCATCCTTGGGTCTTAGACATAATCATTCTTGTCTCATTTCCTTTTCCTGGCCAAGTTCTGGAAATGTATTGTGCTCTGTGGAGAAAAATCAGAAGACCACCACTGCATACACAGGACTTACACAACTACCAGACCAGACTCACATGTGAAACAGCAGCAAGGAGGAAAATAGTGCTCAGAGGAAAGGAGACAAGAGGGGGGCTGGCTGTGCAAGGTGGGTCACCACAGTGGAGACACCTGCTCATGGTGTGTCTGTACTACTTACATTTCCTCCCCCTGCAGAATGTTTGATGTTATCTCTGGAACCACAGCGGGACTGAATATCGCTAAAATCGATCTTCTTGTTTAAAATCCTAACCTAAAAGGAATTGGAGGTAACTTACTATATACCATACACACTCCAAGCAGGGTGCAGGACAAGGGAGCACAGCAATTTTGCCTCCTGCTGCGACTTCTTCTGACACTCGCATTGCAAGGAGAGAAAGTCAATCATGCCAGTCTCTGTACTAAATGCAGTATGTTGCTCTTTTTTCTACCGCATGAAGTGGTGGCAAAATACAAAGGGGAGCATTTTCATTCTGGGAGACATGAGAGGTGATTTTTCCCTGACAAACTCAAAGAACATCTCGTTTGCCTGGGTTGCACATAGCCCTTGGAAAGCCCGTCTTAGACTCTCTTGAGTGACGGCCAGGGTTTCTGCTGAACTGGGCACAAGGAGAAGATGGAGGCCTTCCATCTCACAGCTCAGTACTCCAGCCTTTGCTGCAGCAATTCCAGATCCAGCCAGCTCAGGCACTGTTGGAAATCCTGAGCTATTTCACCGCTCCTTCTGCCACACAGCCATAACAGCAGCTATATTCATACAACAGACCTCAGCGTGCCCTCTGAAAAGTGACTGACAACTCTTGACAAATGGATTGAACGGAAGTCAGAACCACTTAGACTCACTATCGTCCCCTCATAAAGGGCAACACTGAAACAACGGTAGCTGGAAACCTGTGGCTGCTTCTTGATTTCTGGTGCTGCCCAGAGGATTTGCCGGTCACGGCAACTTTCTGGTGCTGGCAGTCCTGCGCACTTTGTTTCTGACAGAACAAGCACCCGACCTTCTCTTGATGGTGCCAGCCTCCCTCAGAGTTGCCAGGAGCCCGCATTTCTTCTGTACCAATTTAGCCACAGACACACTTACAGTCCCGACAGTGCCAGCAGGTGAACTATGTGAAAGGCAGGCCACGCTGCCCTGTGCTTGACCCCATGCCAAACCAGCCTCTCCACCTGGCAGATCTCAGGTGCCACCAATGATTGTCCTCCTCCCAGGGAACCATGTGCCGCTGGACGGGAGTATGCAGGAGCACCTGGGCACAGGGCCTGCCTCAGTGCACACACCTGGGTGACACCACTTCCAGACTCCTTTCTGAGCAAGGAGAGGGGGTTGTGCGGACCAGTATTAGGCTTTTCAGGTGTGTGAGAAGGCACTTCTGGCATGGACTCCACCTGCCTTCTTTGCACCAGGAGCTTTCACTCACTCAAAGCGTGCAGCCAGTGCAGCATACTCACTTTTCTAGGTTAAATATGAAGTCTTTACTCAAATGTTATGGTGGATTTTATTCATCCCTATGTTGCTAATATACAATATGAATTTACACTGTTTTTCCCATTCAAGCCATATAATTTTAGAAATTATGTATTCATTTTACTAAATGGCATTTCTAGAGCCTTCATTAACATATATTTAGCACAGTCCTGTTGGCAGATGTTGAAGGTAAACCTACAATGACTGACTGACACTGAGATGAGAGGGAGGAAGAGATTTGCAGGGTACCTTCTTGCTTCTTTTTACCGTGCCAGTAATGCAAAGCAGCTGCAAACACAGCCGTAGCAGCCAGTGAGAGGAAGAAGAACCTTATGCAGTTTCTGCTCCCTGGCTTCAGTTACCCAAACTGACCAAGGCTGCCTGTTAAACCTGAGGCAAATCACCTCCTCTGTGCCTCACCGCTCCAAACTAGGAGAACACTATTTGCCCACCTTACAGGGATATCAAGTTGTGCCGCTCTTGGCCCTTGCAGTGGTGATAATGTCACATCTAGATAAAAGGGTAACTTCATGCCAACTTCTCTGGCACTGAGCAGCTGGAGTGCACTCTTGACTCAAGCCCAGCCTAAATTCCAGGAACAAATTTTCAGAGGGCCCTATTTTGCAGCTAAGGCAAAGAAGTGTTTCACAGCAAGCTGTTTCCTGGATCCCTTCATTACATGTAATGTAACCGCTATGTTTGTCAAAACATTAGGATGTTAAGTGCTCCCTTGCTTTAACTGACAAAGATCTATGGTGATGGCAGGCTCAGCAAGAAAGGTGACGACCGCATCAGGAAACTCCACAACTGCTAGGTCACGTTCAGCCCTTCAGAAGAGCATCATCGCTAGGCAAGCTGATTTCTCTCTTTCTCTTTCCTATCTGCATAGCCCATCCAACTAAACCGATGTAGACTGAAACACGAAAAGCCAACGGCCTTTGGAGTCTTATGCTTGTGCTTTATCTCAATACACTATTTGTTTAAAAAATGTACCCCAGTACTATACAAGACAGGTGTCACATCAGTTACAGAAATGCACATCAGCTGTGCAGTCAGATCTGGTTCCCACAGAACTTTAGGCCAGACAGAGCTGGGCAAAACAGAAAGCCTTCCTAGCACTTTCTGAGCACATGTCAGTGACACATCAGCAGCACCTCTTAGCAATGGCCACAGGGATGCATTTGCTCCGAAAATGCTGACTTAGGGGTCGTGACAAGACCTTAGTGCTGCGGATTGGGGGCCTGCGGCTTAAAAATGAAGCCAAAGCAAGGTGATAAGTTGAGAGGGTGCCTTTGATCAAGTGCCCAAAGGTTGATTTGCACCCAGAACTCTGACAGATTGCAAGTCTCAGGGCCCATGGACCGAGCTAGCAGACATGGAAAGGAACAATCGTCTCAGTTATCCTCTCTGTCTCACCGGGTGACAAGTGCCCCTGTGTAGAGGGACCAGCAGGAGACCTATGTATCACTTATGTGCTATGCTGAGGGCTGAAGTGAGATATGAGTTATGCAGATGTGTTGTGCTGGTCATCTGGCACAGGGATGAACTGTACTGATCCAGATTTTCTCTGATTATCTGTTTCTTCCCTTCTGGGAATATATCAATGTCCCTGCACATAGTTAGATCATGACTGCCCTCACTAGTTGTTCCATGACCTAATGAAGCCTTATTTCCTACAGATTAATGCCTTAAACCTCTTAATCCCTCCATCCTATGCTCCCGAGCAAGCCCTATCTCCTCTTGCCAGCAACATCCCCGTAGCTTTCTCCCAGGTCTGTTGGACTGGCCAAAGAGCAGCCAATACACAGATGCCAACTGGCTAGCTGTTTATTATCTCTGATTGTGGAGAAGGGGCTGAGGGGCCTTTCTCCCCAGTTACCGTGGTAAGAGTCTCTCCCTTGTATCCAGTCAACAACTGGAGGGAACAACTGGAGGGACTGCCTGCGTTTCCAACCCCTGCTCCTCTGCCAGCGCTGGTTGAAATTGGCCAATAAGCGACAAATGAGTTGAGGAAGGCTGAGACTGCCAGCCAGACACCATGACTGCCTGAGCTTTGCTTCCTTAGGAAATCTGACTGTAAATATCAGAGGGAAAGTACCAGAAAGGGAAAGGAACTATTTAGGCTAAAG